CTGGTGAAGTAAATTTAAGTGAAACGAGCAGTGATGAAAGTGAAGGATATGATGACCATTACAACTGGCAAGTACTTGGAGGGAAGAGAACAAACTGTGAGTCCCCTACTTTGCTTCAAAAAAAGAGACAACATCGTGATGACATTCCATCAACAAGCAACAGATGTGATATTCTACGGAGTAATGGAACCAAACAAAACAATTGTGAAGCTGAGACTACTGCGCCAAAACCCCCTCCTATTTTCATTCCAGACGTTGGTAATATAACGAAAATGATCGCTGATATAAGTAAAGTACTCAAGTCATCTGAATTTAGTTATACATCTTTGCGAGATGGTCAGGTTAGTCTAGATATTGAAACAATTGATTCATATAGAGCGTTAATTAGGCATTTTGATACACATCAAATAAAATACCGTACATCTAAAGAAAGGCCATTTAGTGTTGTAATAAGAGGTCTTCACCCCTCAACAGATGTAGCTTTTATTGAGAAAATGCTTTTAAGAAAGGGGCACCAAGTTCGTAGTGTACGTAATATTCTGTGTCCATTCACCAATAAGCCTTTGAACTTGTTTTATGTCGATTTGGAACCCAGTCCCAACAACAAGGAAGTATATAATATACGAGCGTTGGATAATGCTAAAATCCAGGTTGAAGCTCCCAGAAAAATTGATGAAACCGTACAATGCTACAGGTGTCTGGATTTTGGTCACACACAAGCTTATTGTAAAAACGAATTTAGATGTGATAAGTGTGGATTGAACCATCCTACAAAGGATTGCAAAAGAGCTATCAATACGCCTCCTAATGCTATAATCCAGATTGAAGCTCCCAGAAAAATTGATGAAACCGTACAATGTTACAGGTGTCTGGATTTTGGTCACACACGAGCTTCTTGTAAAAAAGAATTAAGATGTGATAAGTGTGGATTGGACCATCCTACAAAGGATTGCAAAAGAGCTATCAATACGCCTCCTAATGCTATAATCCAGATTGAAGCTCCCAGAAAAATTGATGAAACCGTACAATGCTACAGGTGTCTGGATTTTGGTCACACACGAGCTTCTTGTAAAAAAGAATTAAGATGTGATAAGTGTGGATTGGACCATCCTACAAAGGATTGCAAAAAAGCTATCAATACGCCTCCTAAATATATACCTTCTTCAAGTGAACATACTGCAAGCTATAGGGGCGATGCTGTGTATCAACAACTTCTACCTAAACGAAACGCAAGCGATAATGCTTATAAGAGTCAGCCAATATTTAAAAATGAGCCTACTATGCAAATAAAACTAGTCATAGCTCAATGGAATGTCAATGGAATATCGCTAAACCGCTTAAATGAAATAGAAATATTTCTGAATCAAAACTGTATAGATATATTACTTGTTGCGGAATCACATCTTACAAGTAACTCATTTTTTAGAATAAAGGGCTATGATGTCCTTACAGCAAATCATCCCAGTGGAAGAGCGCGTGGAGGTGCGGCAATTTTAATTAAAAGTGGATTAAACTACGATAATGGCAAATCTGTGGAAGAAAACTACATGCAAGCTATTGGAATTAAAATTAAATGCGACAATCGCCCTGTTTCCATTGTGGCTGCATACTTTCCGCCAAAATTAAGCGTAAAAAGTGAACAATTCGAAGAATTCTTTAAAAGCCTTGGCAAAAGGTTTATAGTGGGCGCTGATTATAACGCAAGGCATCCTTGGTGGGGTTCTAGGTCATATAACTCTAAAGGAAATGAGCTCTATAAATGCATATCAAATAATAATTATCAAGTCCTACATACAGGTATGCCCACCTACTGGCCAAGTGGCCCAGACAAGCTTCCAAATTTGCTGGATTTCTTTGTTTATGGAGGACTATCCTCAGATCTTTTTCAAATAAAACAATTGGATAAGTTAAGTTCTGATCACAATCCTATTATTATGTATTATAATACTACCATCTCTAAACTATAAGAAAATGGCGAAGTTCCAGAAGTCCAGCATAGAAAATAATTATAACATAGCTACAAATCAATTGAAAATTAAGCTTAAAAATTACAAAAAGTAAATGTTTATGTATATCCAAAAATTGGCAATGGTAGTAACATCTATCACGGAACAAAATTTATCAAAATACCAAACGACTAGAAACTTTCCAATAAAAGATATGAATGGAGTACATCTGACAAATCAGAAGTTTCTGATTTTAAGACACATCTGGAGAATACATTTAGACTGCAGTTTTTCGTGATGTAAAGCAAGCTTTCGATCGAGTTACCCACATGCCGTTTTATCTTAACGACAGAACTTTTTATGTAAATATAAATGATAATGATTCAGAAATTGGTCGGATGCCTAGTAAAAGTGACGTAACAAACAATAGCAACCTATGCTGATGACACGGCGGTCTTAGCAAGGAATAAATGCCCTATTGCAGCATCTTCGGCTGTTCAAGAACAACATAATGAAGATATTGAAGTATGGTTGAAAAACTGGAATATTAAAGTCAACGAGGAGAAATCTGTACATGTTGAAAGAAGGGGATTGTCCTGCAGTTAGTTAAAATGGTATAGAGATTAAACTGGAAAACTCATATTTTGCAAAAGCGGAATCAACTAAATTCTAAAACCCGAAAAATGTATTGCCTTCTAGGTCCCAAATCGGAACTTAGCTTAAAAGATAAAGTACTACTATATAAAACAATTTTAAAGCCAGCGTGGCATTCAAATATGGGGTACAGGGAGTTGCTCCAACTTTGAGATACTTTACAGATACCAGAATAAAACTCTTCGGTTGATAACAAATGTCCCCCTGGGTTATGAATAATAACAACATACACAACGATCTTGGTGTCCCAATAGTTAAAACTGAAATTAAAATGTTGAGTAGAAATTATTTAGATAGATTAGGTATTCACAGATGATAGCCATGGAATTAAAAGATTTAAGAGACCTTATGTACTTTATTTCCATTATTAGAATAACTTACGAAAATTGTGTATAATTATAAAAATTAAATTATGTGTTTTGTAATGTAAATAATGTATGTAATATTGTTATATTAAGCTGTAAGTTCAATAAGAAATAAAGAATTGGAAAAAAATTTACCCACATGTTGGTTTGAAATTCGTTTGGAAAAATTGAAAAAAAAAAATAGGGGAATACAGAGATTTATGAAAATTAAAAACGGTCGTGCAAATACGTACCTGAAGATAGAAGAAACAATTTTGAATGATTATCAAAAAATTAAATATTTTTTTTTTAGGAAATGAAACTCATATTTTGTCAATATGAAAGATTTTCAGCCTCGACTTAATATAAAGACTCCCTTCAGCTCGTCATATAAAGACTCGCTTCAGCTCGTCATATAAAGACTCCCTTCAGCTCGTCATATAAAGACTCCCTTCAGCTCGTCATATAAAGACTCCCTTCAGCTCGTCTATAAAGACGAGATTTTTAAAGTATTTTGTGATAAATTATATGCTTTGGATCAGGATAACATTATGTAATCCGATAAATTTGTAATACCCCTGAGTTAATTCCACTCTTTGTTATAGTCTGAAGGTTTAACCGAATTTTTGAACCGAAGTAAGTAAAATCATGACGAACTGACTGATTTAACAATTCATCAACGCCCAGACGAAACGGCTGAAGATAGAATCTTGAAATTTTGGGTGCGGGTCACTCTTGGTCCACAGGTGACATATAAAGCTGGGTTTTGGAAATTCGTACTAGAACGGCACGAACAGTACTAAAAAGTACTAAATGTGATACCATTTGTATTTGATGAAACGGTAGAGCTAAAACTCTTAAATTTTAAATGAGGTTCATAGATGGAGTGTAGAATAGATATAGCAAACGGTTTTTTGGTCATTCGAACTAAAAGAATGCGAAAAGTATTAAAATGTACTAAATTTGGTACAATTCCGTAGCATGTGAATGTACAGAGCTAAAAACTTGAAATTTGGAATGCGAATTTTAATTAATGTGTACGAAAAGTACTATATGGTACTATATTTGGTACAAATTTAATTTAGAGTTACAAATCGTGCTGGAATCCTGACATTTGAAATTAACATTACCGGAGTCGGAGTGTTGGATTGGGATATGAACATAGTTTTAGAAATTTGTTACTTATATGTATGAAAAGTACTAAATCGTACTATAATCGGTACAGTTTGGATTTGGATGTACCGATAGAGTTGGAATCCTGAAACTTGGATTTAGGAACACTAAATTTGGTACAATTTGAATTGTGAGTGAACCGATAGAGTTGGAATCCAGAAACTTGGATTTGTGATCACTGTGAGGGTGTAGGGTTGGATATCTATAAATATTCTTTAAAAGGCCTCGCCAGGTCCTTTGGAAAATATTCTTTAAAAATCCCCGCCTGGTGCTTTAGAAAATATGCTTTAAAAATCCACGCCTATTATCAGTCCTTTAGAAACTTTTTTATAAAAATAGACGCCTGGTCTTAGTCGTTTAGAAAGTATTCTTTAATAACAAATGATTACAGTCCTTAAGAAAATATCCTTTTAAAATCAATGATTAGAATCCAAATAGAAAGTGTTATTTAAAAATCCACCCTTAGAGTCCTAATATTCCTCAAGAGAATATCCTTTTACAATCCACGTATAGAAACAGTAACCTATCTCTTCTAAAAATCTAATAAAAATGCTCTTTGGGAGACCTTGAAAAATATATGAATATGACTCACGCCTTCTTCGATTTTGATACAATCGAAATTGAAAATATTTACTTTGGAGACCTCAAAACAATTGATAACACAATTTTTTCACATGAAATTACGTCTTACAAATTGCGGAACACTTCAGATAACTGCTGCTTTAATTAGAATATCGAAATAGTGCAATTGCAAGTAAATATTACGAAATCAGTTATTATTACTGCATTGCCCTTCAAAAAAATGGGAACCTATAAAATGCAATGATTTCTCGCCAAGAAGCACTAGTAAAACATTGCTATTCGAAATCGTTAGTTCGACAAAATGAAACTTTCAATATCGCTTAGTTTCCTGGCTGTATGCCTTATGGCATTTGCGGTAAGTTGGAGCTATCTTCCCTTTTTCTAATAATCCTATATAATTTTCTGACTGTCCTTAGGTCAATGTTAACGCTAAACATGTGAGATATTATCATGATGGTTATGAGTTCAGGGGAACAGAAGTTCCTACCGATGCCACTGAGACCACTGATGTACCAGAAACCACAGAACCTGTTGAAACTACAGAAGTTCCTGATCACCGTCCACCGCACCACAAACCACCCCATCATGGTCCTCCACATCATAAACCTCCCCATCATGGTCCACCACATCATAAACCTCCCCACCATGGTCCTCCAAACCAAGGACCTCCAAATCACCATAAACCCGGTAGCAATGCTCCTGGCCACCATGTTCCTGGCCAATTGAGTATTAAAGAAGTTGATAGCTTTGTTGAACATTTAATGGATACCGTGGGTCAAATAATTGAATCAGTGGTAAGTGATAAGTCACGTCAAAAAACTCCTCTGCCAGATAAAAATTTACATCTGAATCTACGTTTCTAGATCCTATAGCTCCTCAAAAAATATTTCTTTTTTACAAATCTACGATTGAATCTCCGATAGCTTCTCAAAAAATTAATTTAAAAATCTGCTCCTGTAGCCTCGATAGCTCCTCAAAAATATTATAATATTGAGCCTGTAGCGTCAATAGCTCCTTTAAAAAATAATATGATAAAGACTATTTTCCAAAAATATTCGTAAAACCCACACTTTTAGATAGAATATCCCAGTTTAAAATAATTCTTTCTCTCCCTCAAAGATCGAAGCAGTGCACTCTGGAAAACCTCTGGAAATTCAAGAGGGAGAACACCACTATAGACCTCATCCACATTTCCCTCACGACAACAAACACGAGGGATCTGGCGAAGATAATCACAGGGATCCACATGAGGGATCTGACGAAGATAATCACGAACATCACCACGAGGATCATGAGGGATCTGAAGAAGATAATGACGGGAAACATCACGACAAGGAAGATCGTCCTGAAAAAGATAATCATGGACATCACCACGAGGATCATGAAGAACCCGAGAATGATGGCCATGGTCTAGAACAACCCAACCACAAATATGAAAAACCTATAGTAGATAATCACGATCCAGAACACGAAGACCACGAGCATTCACATGAGGGATCTGAAGAAGATAATCACGAACATCCCCACGAGGATCATGAAGGACCCGAGGAAGATGGTCATGGTCGAGAAGAACCCAACCACCAACACGAAAAACCTGTTGACGACAATCACAAACCAGAACACCACAAACATGAAGAGCCCGAAGAAAGTAATCACAAACCAAAACAACCCAACCATCAACACGACAAACCAGAAGAGGATAACCACGGTCCAGAAGAACCAAACCACAAACCCGAAGAACCTAAGGAGGATAATCACCACCAACACGAAAAACCTGAAAAAGAAAGCCACGACCCAGAACCACCCAAACACGAAAAACCTGAAGAAGAAGATAACCATGACCCAAAACAACCCAACAATAAACATGAAGAGCCTAAGGAGGATAATCATGATCCAGAACAACCCGACCATAAACACGAGGGGTCCGAGGAGGATAATCACATTCCTGAACATCCAAAGGAATCGGATGAAAATAAACATGTTCCAGAACATCAAAACGAACCCAAAGATGATAATCTCATTCCAGAACATCCCAAAGAAAAGGAAACCCATTAAACCATTCCAGATGTTCCGTTGGTGTTGAGATAATTAATATTAGGTCTAATTTAAATTGGATTATACATAAGAAAGACGAAATAAAATTAAAAATTAAATTTCAAAATAGCCTTTTAAATTTTTTCAGAATAGCCTTTTAATTTTTTTCTTTAAAAATCCAAGCCTGGACTCCGAACAGCCTTTTAGAATTTCTCTTTAAAAATCCAAACCTCGAATCCCAATAGAATTTTTGATTTTTTTATACCCTCCGCCATAGTATGGAGGGTATATTAATTTTGTCATTCCGTTTATAGCACATCGAAATATTCATTTCCGACCCTATAAAGTATATATATTCTTGATCAGGATAAAATTCTAAGACGATCTAGCCATGTCCGTCCGTCTGTTGTAATCACGCTATCTTCTGAAGGAATTGAGATGGGGTGCTGAAATTTTGCATAGGGTTGTCTTTTGTATGCAAGCAGGTCATGTTCGAAGACGGGATATATACCACCCCCCACCCCCCAAATGTTGGTATTTTGGGGTTCTTGTGCACGCTTTTCAACCGAATTGACGTTTGCTACAATGGGTTATTATTGCGTTCCAAATTTCTCCACAAAAAATTATAAATATAGGTCCACTTTTTCTGGTACCCGCCATATAACGGTACCCTCTAATTTTCAGTATTTTGGGGGTTTTGATCATACTTTTCCACCGAATTGGCTGTAATTTTGTATTTTGAGTTCTTAATAGGTACCAAAACTCTACATCAACAATTATGAATATATGTCAATTTTTTCGGAGAGCCCCCATATAAGGGCACCCCCCAATTTTAGGTTCTTGAGCGCGTGTTTCAACCGAATTCGCTGTAATTTGGAATTTTGAGGTCGTATATGGTAAGAAATTTCCCTACCAACAATTATTAATATACGCCCCCTTTTTGGGGTAGTCCCCATAGAACCCCCTTTTTATATTAGAATAGTTTTCTGCTTTTTTCCGCGTTTTGGGCTTATCCCCATGTTTTCGCATTCCACCATAGTAGTGCAAATATTCTGTACTTGAAATGTATATTTCTATGACGATTTAGCCATCTGTTTTAATCATTCTACCTTCGGGGTATATTGAGGTAAAAAACTAGAACGGCTAGGTTCGAGAATCATATATAATATATCGATATTGATATACCCATTTTCGATATGGTTAATATTTAGCGTGAAGGAAGGTATTGTGATGCGAAAATGTTCGGTAAGAAATAGAGTTATGTATATAAGTCTTTAATATGGCATAGAACCTCAAATAATTACAACTCCAACTGTAAGGTATTTCCAACACGATGTAATAGCCTCCAGAAACCTACACAGTGACATGTTTTTTCTGCAATGACAATATTCATATTAAACCAGCAGTTTCCACGCCTTTTTCACTTGTTTTTCTTTAAAAATCCACGCCTTAAATCCGAAGAGCCTTTTAGAATTTCTCTTTAAAAATCCACGCCTTAAATCCGAAGAGCCTTTTAGAATTTCTCTTTAAAAATCCACGCCTTAAATCCGAAGAGCCTTATAGAATTTCTCTTTAAAAATCCAAACTTCGAATCCGAATAGAATTTTTGAAATTTTTTTCTTAAAAATCCAAGCCTTAAATCCGAAGAGCCTTTTAGAATCTCTCTTTAAAAATCCAAACTTCGAATCCGAATAGAATTTTTGAAATTTTTTTCTTAAAAATCCACGCCTTAAATCCGAAGAGCCTTTTATAATTTCTCTTTAAAAATCCAAACTTCGAATCCGAATAGAATTTTTGAAAAAAAATTTTTCGAATCCGAATAGAATTTTTGAAATTTTTTTCTTAAAAATCCAAACTTCGAATCCGAATAGAATTTTTGAAATTTTTTCTTAAAAATCCACGCCTGGAATCCGAAAGCATTTAGAAAATATTCTTTATAAATCCACGCCTGGAATCCGAAAGCATTTAGAAAATATTCTTTAAAAATCCACGCTTGGAATCCGAAACCCCTTCTAGAAATTTTCCTTAAAAATCCGCGCAGGAATCAGAATAGCCTCGTAGATTTTTTTAAATTTTTCAGCCTCAACTTAAAAGACTCCCATCAGCTCGTCTATAAAGACGAGATTTTTAAAGTATTTTGTGATAAAGTATATGCTTTGGATCAGGATAATATTATGTAACGAACAAGCCCTGTCCGCGGGTCTGTCTGTTGAAATCACGATACATATCCGATACATTTTTAATACCCCTAAGTTAATTCCACTCTTTGTTATAGTCTCCGTCTTTGTTATAGTCTCCGGACCACTTTTTGTATTCTGAAGGTTTAACCGAATTTTTGAACCGATGTAAGTAAAATCATGACGAACTGGAACCTATTTAGAACACAAAGTATTAAATTACAGCCAATTTGGTGGAAAAATACGACCAAAACCCCCAAAATACTGAAAATTAGGAAGTACCGTTATATGGGGGCTACCAGAAAAAGTGGACCTATATTTATAATTTTTTGTGGCAACATTTAGTACCCAATAAGAACCCAATGTACCAAATTTCAGCGAATTCGGTTGAAAAACGCGCTCAAGAACCCCAAAATTTCGAAAATTTGGGTGTACCCTTATATGGGAGCTATGCCTAAACGTGGACCGATATATCCCATCTTCGAACTTGACCTGCCTGCAGACAAAAGACAACCCTTTGCAAAATTTCAGCACCATATCTAAATTCCTTCGGAAGATAGCGTGATCAAGAATATATATACTTTATAGGGTCGGAAATGCATATTTCGGTGAGTTACAAACGGAATGACAAAATTAATATACCCTCCATACTATGGTGGAGGGTATAAAAACGGTCGTGCAAATACGTACCTGAAAATAGAAGAAACAATTTTGAATGATTATCAAAAAATTAAATATTTTTTTTTAGGAAATGAAACTCATATTTTGTCAATATGAAAGGGGAAAACACAGCTATGAAGATTTTAGGCCTCAACTTAATATAAAGACTCGCTTCAGCTCGTCATATAAAAAACGAGATTTTTAAAGTATTTTGTGATAAATTATATGCTTTGGATCAGGATAATATTATGTAACGAACAAGCCCTGTCCGCGGGTCTGTCTGTTGAAATCACGATACATATCCGATACATTTTTAATACCCCTGAGTTAATTCCACTCTTTGTTATAGTCTCCGTCTTTGTTATAGTCTCCGGACCACTTTTTGTATTTTGAAGGTTTAACCGAATTTTTGATGGAGTGTAGAATAGATATAGCAAACGCTTTTTTTGGTCATTCGAACTATAAGAATGCGAAAAGTATTAAAATGTACTAAATTTGGTACAATTCCGTAGCATGTGAATGTATTGAGCTAAAAACTTGAAATTTGGAATGCGAATTAGGGTTGGGAAGTAGGGTCGATATTTAGGAGACGGGTTTAAAACCGTCTATTAATGTGTACGAAAAGTACTATATGGTACTATATTTGGTACAAATTTAATTTAGAGATACAAATCGAGCTGGAATCCTGAAATTTGAAATTAACATTACCGGAGTCGGAGTGTTGGATTGGGATATGAACATAGTTTTGGAAATTTGTTACTTATATGTATGAAAAGTACTAAATCGTACTATAATCGGTACAGTTTGGATTTTGATGAACCGATAGAGTTGGAATCCTGAAACTTGGATTTAGGAACACTAAATTTGGTACAATTTGAATTGTGAGTGAACCGATAGAGTTGGAATCCAGAAACTTGGATTTGGGATCACTGTGAGGGTGTGGGGTTGGATATCTATAAATATTCTTTAAAAGACCACGCCTGGTGCTTTAGAAAATATTCTTTAAAAATCCCCGCCTGGTCCTTTAGAAAATATTCTTTAAAAATCCCCGCCTGGTGCTTTAGAAAATATTCTTTAAAAATCCACGCCTATTATCAGAAACTTTTTCATAAAAATAGACGCCTGGTCTTAGTCGTTTAGAAAATATTCTTTAATAATCAATGCTTAGAGTCCTTAAGAAAATATCCTTTCAAAATCAATGATTACAACCCTAATAGAAAGTACTATTTAGGAATCCACCCTTAGAGTCCTAATATTCCTCAAGAGAATATCCTTTTACAATCCACGTATAGAAACAGTAACCTATCTCTTCTAAAAATCTAATAAAAATGCTCTTTGGGAGACCTTGAAAAATATATGAATATGACTCACGCCTTCTTCGATCTCAAGTATTTTGATACAATCGAAATTGAAAATATTTACTTTGGAGACCTCAAAACAATTGATAACACAAATTTTTTCACTGAAATTACGTCTTACAAATTGCGGAACACTTCAGATAACTGCTGGTTTAATTAGAATATCGAAATAGTGCAATTGCAAGTAAATATTACGAAATCAGTTATTATTACAGCATTGCCCTTCAAAAAAATGGGAATCTATAAAATGCAATGATTTCTCATTCAAAAGCACTAGTAATACATTGCAATCCGAAATCGATAGTTCAACAAAATGAAATTTTCAATATCGCTTAGTTTCCTGGCTGTATGCCTTATGGCATTTGCGGTAAGTTGGAGCTATCTTCCCTTTTTCTAATAATCTTATATAAAATTTTTCTGACTGTCCTTAGGTCAATGTTAACGCTAAACATGTGAGATATTATCATGATGGTTATGAGTTCAGGGGAACAGAAGTTCCTACCGATGCCACTGAGACCACTGATGTACCAGAAACCACAGAACCTGTTGAAACTACAGAAGTTCCTGATCACCGTCCACCGCACCACAAACCACCCCATCATGGTCCTCCACATCATAAACCTCCCCACCATGGTCCCCCAAACCATGGTCCTCCAAATCAAGGACCTCCAAATCACCATGAACCCGGTAACAATGCTCCTGGCCACCATGTTCCCGACCAATTGAATATTAAAGAAATTGATAGCTTTGTTGAACATTTAATGGATACCGTGGGTCAAATAATTGAATCAGTGGTAAGTGATAAGTCACGTCAAAAAACTCCTCTGCCAGTTTTCCTCCACATGAAGCTCCCTAAAAATACTAATGCAGGACCTCGAAAAATATTCTTTGAAAAGTTACACCTGAAGCTCCTGGAAATTTTTTTTAAAATCTGCACCTGAAGCTCCTCAAAAATATACATTTTTTAATCTACACAAGTGTGTATATTTTTTAAAAAATATTCTTTAAAATTATACGCCTGAAACTTCGGTAGCTCCTCAAAAGATATTTCTTTTTTTTTAAATCTACGATTGCATCTCCGATAGCTTCTAAAAAATACTTTAAAAATCTGCTTCTGTAGTCCCGATTGTTCCTCAAAAATATTAAAACATTGAGGCTGTAGCTTCGAAAGATCTTTTAAAAAATATTATTTAAAAATCTACGCACATAGCTCCGAGTGTTCCTCATAGGTAGTCTTTAAATACCAAAGCCAAAAGTTGCGATAAAGGCTATTTTCCAAAAATATTCGTAAAACCCACACTTTTAGATAGAATACTCTTTTTTGGAAAAAACTCTTCTTCAAAATATCTGTTCTATGGCCCTGTATTGTCCTTTTAAAAAATATCCCAGTTTAAAATAATTCTTTCTCTCCCTCAAAGATCGATGCAGTGCACTCTGGAAAACCTCTAGAAATTCAAGATGGAGAACACCACTATAGACCTCATCCACATTTCCCTCACGACAACAAACATGAGGGATCTGGCGAAGATAATCACAGGGATCCACATGAGGGATCTGAACATCACCACGAGGATCATGAGGGATCTGAAGAAGATAATCACGAGCAACATCCCGACAAGGAAGATCGTCCTGAAAAAGATAATCACGGACATCACCACGAGGATCATGAAGGACCCGAGAATGATGGCCATGGTCCAGAACAACCCAACCACAAAGACGAAAAACCTGTAGGAGATAATCACGATCCAGAACACGAAGACCACGAGCATTCACATGAGGGATCTGAAGAAGATAATCACGAGCAACATCCCGACAAGGATGATCGTCCTGCGAAAGATAATCACGGACATCACCACGAGGATCATGAAGGACCAGAGAATGATGGCCATGGTCTAGAACAACCTAACCACAAATATGAAAAACCTATAGTAGATAATCACGATCCAGAACACGAAGACCACGAGCATTCACATGAGGGATCTGAAGAAGATAGTCACGAACATCCCCACGAGGATCATGAAGGACCCGTGGAAGATGGTCATGGTCCAGAAGAACCCAACCACCAACACGAAAAACCTGTTGACGACAATTACAAACCAGAACACCACAAACATGAAGAGGCCGAAGAAAGTAATCACAAACCAAAACAACCCAACCATCAACACGACAAACCTGAAGAAGATAACCACGGTCCAGAAGAACCCAACCACAAACCCGAAGAACCTAAGGAGGATAATCATAAACAAGAACAACCCAACCACCAACACGAAAAACCTGAAAAAGATAGCCACGACCCAGAACCACCCAAACACAAAAAACCTGAAGAAGAAGATAACCATGACCCAAAACAACCCAACAATAAACATGAAGAGCCTAAGGAGGATAATCATGATCCAGAACAACCCGACCATAAACACGAGGGGTCCGAGGAGGATAATCACATTCCTGAACATCCAAAGGAATCGGATGAAAATAAACATGATAATCTCATTCCAGAACATCCCAAAGACAAGGAAACACATTAAACCATTCCAGATGTTCCGTTGGTGTTGAGATAATTAATAATAATAATTAATATTAGGTCTAATTTAAATTGGATTATACATAAGAAAGACGAAATAAAATAAAAAATTAAATTTCAAAATAGCCTTATAAATTTTTCAGAATAGCCTTTAAAATTTTTTTCTTTAAAAACCCAAGCCTAGACTCCGAACAGCCTTTTAGAATTTCTCTTTAAAAATTCAAACCTCGAATCCCAATAGAATTTTTGATTTTTTTTATACCCTCCGCCATAGTATGGAGGGTATATTAATTTTGTCATTTCATTTATAACACATCGAAATATTCATTTCCGACCCTATAAAGTATATATATTCTTGATCAGGGTAAAATTCTAAGACGATCTAGCCATGTCCGTCCGTCTGTTGTAATCACGCTATCTTCTGAAGGAATTGAGATAGGGTGCTGAAATTTTGCATAGGGTTGTCTTTTGTCTGCAAGCAGGTCATGTTCGAAGATGGGATTTACCCCCCCCCCCCATTTTTTGGTATTTTGGGGTTCTTGAGCACGTTTTTCAACCGAATTCGCTGAAATTTGCTACCATGGGTTCTTATTGCGTTCCAAATTTCTCCACAAAAAATTATAAATATAGGTCCATTTTTTTCTGGTAGCCGCCATATAACGGTACCCTCTAATTTGCAGTATTTTGGGGGTTTTGATCATACTTTTCCACCGAATTTGCTGTAATTAAGTATTTTGAGTTCTTAATAGGTACCAAAACCCTCCATCAACAATTATGAATATAGGTCCATTTTTTCAGAGAGCCCCCATATAAGGGTACCCCCCAATTTTAGGTTCTTGAGCGCGTGTTTCAACCGAATTCGCTGTAATTTGGAATTTTGAGGTCGTATATGGTAACAAATTTCCCTACCAACAATTATTAATATACGCCCCCTTTTTGGGGTAATCCCCATAGAACCCCCTTTTTATATTAGAATAGTTTTCTGATTTTTTCCGCGTTTTGGGCTTATCCCCATGTTTTCGCATTCCACCATAGTAGTGCAAATATTCTGTACTTGAAATGTAGATTTCTATGACGATTTAGCCATCTGTTTTAATCATTCTACCTTCGGGGGATATTGAGGTAAAAAACTAGAACGGCTAGGTTCGAGAATCATATATAATATATCGATATTGATATCCCCAATATTGTGATACATTTTCGATATTGTTAATATTGAGCGTGAAGGAAGGTATTGTGATGCGAAAATGTTCGGTAAGAAATAGAGTTATGTATATAAGTCTTTAATATGGCATAGAACCTCAAATAATTACAACTCCAACTGTAAGGTATTTCCAACACGATGTAATAGCCTCCAGAAACCTACACAGTGACATGTTTTTTCTGCAATGACAATATTCATATTAAACCAGCAGTTTCCACGCCTTTTTCACTTGTTTTTCTTTAAAAATCCACGCCTTAAATCCGAAGAGCCTTTTAGAATTTCTCTTTAAAAATCCAAACTTCGAATCCGAATAGAATTTTTGAATTTTTTTTCTTAAAAATCCACGCCTTAAATCCGAGGAGCCTTTTAGAATTTCTCTTTAAAAATCCAAACTTCGAATCCGAATAGAATTTTTGAATTTTTTTTCTTAAAAATCCAAGCCTTAAATCCGAAGAGCCTTTTAGAATCTCTCTTTAAAAATTCAAACTTCGAATCCGAATAGAATTTTTAAAATTTTTTTTATTAAAAATCCACGCCTTAAATCCGAAGAGCCTTTTATAATTTCTCTTTAAAAATCCAAATATCGAATCCGAATAGAATTTTTGAAAAAAATTTTTTCGAATCCGAATAGAATTTTTGAAAAATTTTTCTTAAAAATCCAAACTTCGAATCCGAATAGAATTTTTGAAATTTTTTTCTTAAAAATTCAAACTTCGAATCCGAATAGAATTTTTGAAATTTTTTTCTTAAAAATCCAAACTTCGAATCCGAATAGAATTTTTGAAATTTTTTTCTTAAAAATCCACGCCTGGAATCCGAAAGCATTTAGAAAATATTCTTTATAAATCCACGCCTGGAATCCGAAAGCATTTAGAAAATATTCTTTATAAATCCACGCCTGAAATCCGAAAGCATTTAGAAAATATTCTTTAAAAATACACGCCTTAAATCCGAAAGCATTTAGAAAATATTCTTTAAAAATCCACGCCTGGAATCCCAATGCATTTAGAAAATAGTCTTTAAAAATCCACGCTTGGAATCCGAAACCCCTTCTAGAAATTTTCCTTAAAAATCCGCGCAGGAATCAGAATAGCCTCGTAGATTTTTTTTAAATCTACGCCTATAATCTGTATAGCCTTTCAGACATATTTCGGTAAAAATCCACACGTTTAGAATTTTTTCTTTGAAAATCTGCGCCAGAAATTCGAATAGCCTCTTGGAAAATTGTCTTTGAAAATCCGCGCCAGGAATCTGCCGGAATAGCCTTTCAGATATATTTCTTTAAAAATCCCAGCCGTTAAGAAATTTTCTTTAAAAAGCCACGTCTGGAATCCGAACAGTCTTTCATAAATTTGGCTTTAAAACCCACAACGGGAATTTAAATAGCATTTTAGAAATTTTTCTTTAAATATTCACACTTGAAATCCGACACATTTCTTTAAATCCCTAGACGTTTAAACATTTTTTAGGTTTAAAAAACCACACCTGGAATCCGAATAATCTTTTAGAAATTTTTCTTTTGAAAATCCGCACCTAGAATCCCAATAGAAATATTTCATAAAAAAACACAACTAGAGTCCTAATAGTCCTTTATAAATTATTATTTAATAATCCTAGAGCCCTTATAGTCCTTTATAGATTCAAGCCTAGACAGCCTAACAATCCTTTAGAAAATATTTGTTTTAAAAATCCAACTCTGGTGTCCTAGTATTCCATTCCTAGAGTCCTAATATGCCTTTAGAAGATCAGCTAAACAGCTCTTTAAAAGTAAATAATTAATCCACAACTAAAATCCTAATAATCCTTTAGAAAATATTCTTTAAAGATCCGCACCAAGAGTCCTAATAGTTCTTTAGAAATGTTTACGCCTAGAGAAATATTATTTAAAAATCAACGCCTAGAGTTCTAATAGCCCTTTAGAAAATATTTTTTAAAGATCCGCTCTCGATTAACCTCGTCGGATAGAAAGAGGTCCTTCAGATAACTGTCGACCAGCTCCCATCTATTCTCACTGATAAACCCGTCGGGGTTCCGGAACCTCTTTTGGATCAGCAGAGTCGCTTTGCGCCGTTGTAGGTGTCTGGGCTACCTGCTTCGAGACAGCGTGTTTGGTTTTAACCTCACAATCGATGCTTTTGGCAGGTTTCTCCTTCGACACTACCACCGACGCAAACGAAGCAGAGCACTGTACGGCCGACGACTGCGTGGGCCTCTTTGCAGCAGGCATCAGCTTCCTGGATGTACCAGGACCATCAACAGGTTTCTCCTTCTTAGAAGGGACTACCGCTGAGGTCCTGGTACTGGGTCGGGGGATCCTATCAATCAAGAGGTCGCTCTCAATATCATCAGGATAGTTCCCAGAAAACTTCCTAATGAGTTTGAGGTTCCTCTTGATTAACAGGAACTCCTTCCCCGTGATGGAGTCGCTGTCCCGTCCAATGTATCGTTTAGAGTAATTTACTGCTCTCCGATACATTTTCTTGGCAGCGATCTCCTTAGCGTCGACTGGTCTAGCAGATAATGGTATCGATGAGTCATCCATCTTAACGATGGGAGTCACATCGGTGCCAGCATCTGTTTCAACAGCCAACTGCCTGAGTAGTCTCGCGACATCACTGCAGGCCGTGGAGATTGAGTCGAGATACTCAACCTCGCCAGGGTTTACTTTCCTAGTCAGTAACTGGGGGAACCCTCCTTGCTTCAGAGGAGACACCATGGTTGCTACTATGTTTATCACCGTAGTTTCCATGATGTCATCCTCGTCCGACAAGGGCCCAGAGCTTCCGCCTCCTGACTGAGGTGGAAGGAGCCGGTTTCCTCTAGAATTTCGAGGAGAAGATCCGACTGCCTCTCCAGGCTTGCATTTACGTCGTCGAGAGAAGGACAATTGGCTAAAGAGAGGTCCAGGGGGATTGCTTGGGTCGTCAACACTTGGGGGGATTCATTGATAGCTGACCTTGTAGAATTCGAGACGGAGGGTGCCAAGGCAGCCACCCAGCATCAGTCGAAAAATCGCATGCGTTGTTTTTGGTTTGGGGGGGAGGGGCGTATTAAAAGTCGGCTCCATAAAAAGTGCTGTGAGTGAAGGTTTGCGGTCGACCATGGCATAGCCTCTTACCATGGTAGGGACTTGGCAACTAAGGCTGAAACACTTGTTGAGGCGCCCAGGTATCAACAAGGCTCCGTTCTAATACAGTCGGTACCCTGACTGCAAACCGTGGAACGCTGATAGGCACGAGGTCGCATGACACCCCAGCGTTAGGGGAGACACTTTAAGGAGGTAGTGTCTCAAACCTTTTGAGATGGATATAAGAGAGGGGGCGCCATTCTCTCCTCGTCGCTTCAAAATAATTCATTAAAAATTCAAGATTAGTGTCCTCTAACGTCATTTAGGAAATAATATTCTAAATAAAAATACACGCTATATGTACTGATAGTCCTTTTGAAAATGTTCTTCCAACCATTTTAATTTTCACTTTAAAATTCCACAACAACTTACCATTAGGAGACCTTGAAAAATAAATAAAGATGACTCTCATCTCGCACATCTTCAAGTATTTTGTTAGAATCGAAATCGAAAATATTTACTTTGGAGACTGCAAACAATTGACAACACAACTTTTAAAATTAAATTAAATTACGTTTTAATAAAAATGATACAAATCAGATAATGGAAATTAATTAGAATATCGAAATAGTACATCCGAAGTAAATATTACGAAATCAGTTATTACAACATCGCCCTTTAAATATTGGAAACTATAAAATTGACTGATTTCTCACCAATAAGCACTAGTAAC